CTTTGTAATCGTCATTTCCTTTAATAAGCTTCATTGCTCCTATTGCAGAACTAATAGACATAAAGTTGACAAATCCACATGATTTTTCTTTGACAAGATTGGTTGATTCTATTTCGCCGTACTTTTTAAAGTCATTATATAGTTTTTCTTCGGTCATTCCTTCACCAAGTTTTCCAATATAAATATTACGAGAAGCATGCCTGTTATTCACTTCATGCTCTATATCTTTAGGCAATGGTCCTGGATTGTCCCCCCAAGCAGCTTTAAGTTTTCTATTTTTGATTACCAAGCCTAAATTTTGTGCCATAAACAAAAAGCTCGCTGCACTGTTTGGATCAACGAATCTGACAAATGCGACTTGTTTTTTCGGGATGTATTGAATACATTCAAGATTACCGGCACGAATATAATTACAAATTTCTTCAGACCTAGTTGAGGGGTGAATATTTCCAAGATAAACACTTCGGTTTCCAACATTGCTAGTGACATTTGCCATAGTTTCTTCAGATAATGCGTGTTGATTTTCATTGGGATGATATCTTTTGTGAAATAAAGTGCATGCATTAAGATTATGATTATGAATTGATGACATAGCATTAAGATTATGATCATGAATTGACACATTATTAAGATAAGGATTACGAGTTGTTGTCACATCATTAAGATAAGGATTACGAGTTGTTGACATAACATCAAGATAAGGATTATGAGATGCCTTATTTCCAAAGCTTTGAAGGAGAGTGTTTTGCATATATATTTCACACCGGTCTTTGGCATAATCAACTTTAACCTTTTTGTATGCGTATTTTGATGGTAATGATTCAACTGCTCTAATGGCACTTGAAATATTCCAGAAATGAACTAATCCAATCTTTTTTTCTCTGATAATTTGAATAGTATCAATATAACCATATTCAGCCAAATCTCTATGTAAAATCCTTTCAGTGATCGAATCATCCAAATTTTCTAGGAGAACGTTACGTGAAGCATTGTTTTCTTCAACAGCTAATTGAACACCTAAAGGTACAGCTGATAATCTACCCCAACCAACGTAAAGTTCTTGACCTTCATAAAAAATTTGGTTGTTCGTAGCTTCATCATAAAATGCTTTTGCAAGAGTAGCATTCATAAAAGAAATGAATGCACAAATTCTGTCAGGATGTAGTTTTACAGACTCTAATGGACCAACTTTGATTTGATTTATAAGTTTATAAACTTCTACATTTGGTGGTAAATTTCCAAGATATACAGTTCGTCTAATAACATTTGTAGAATATTTTTGATAAATTTTTGAAGGTCGATTTGTGGGTTGCTTTAATCTCAACGGAGCGGCTTTATGATAATAATCAGCTATTAGTGCTTGATAAAAATATTTTGTAAAATCAATATAAATTTTTAATTTTCATTACCTCTTGTTAAAAAAACGTTGCCACTACTATTATTTGGATTATGCCTTGCTTTTTTAGCATCTTCATGACTTTGATTGCTGTTATCGTTACTACGTTTCATGATAAAATATTGACTGTAACTTTGAAGCTTATTAAAGGAAATGACGATTACAAAGACTGTTATATTAATTATGGAAAAGATCGTTGTGGTGATTGTAGTGACGCCAAAAATAGAAAACTTAAGGCTGCTGAGGATGACAATCCAGGACCATTGTCTGAAGAGGATGAAATGAATAACAGGCCTCCTTCTCGTAATGTTTATATTGAAAAACTTGGTGAAGGAATGACCGAAGAAAAACTATATAAAGACTTTAAAAAATGTGGCAAAATAGAATCAATCATTCTTGACAGAGAAAAATCATGCGGATTTGTCAACTTTATGTCTATTGGTTCTGGAATCAGAGCAGTGAAACGCATTAAAAGAAAAAGTGGTTACAAAAACTGTTATATTAATTATGGAAAAGATCGTTGTGATGATGGTAGCGATACAAATAAAAATAACAAATAAATTTGCAATATAAATTTTAAATTCTATTTAGAATCTTGATATTTTTATTTTTTTTGTTGCTCTCGTCTTCGCTACCGTCGCCGTTGTTGTCATCGTCGTTGTTGTTGTTATTCTTGTAATTTTTTTATATATTTCTCTAATTAAATAATAAATAAATGATCGATCATATATTATGAAATGATTTATTTTTTTTTTTTTCAAGAAAACAATGTAAAAAATAACATTCAATTTCACATTAAAAAAAATGAGATATATATTTGTTTATTGTACTATTGTTACATATTGAAAAATAGGAGAACAAAAAAAAATATGCATGGAGTGAAACCTTTTA